CCCCCCTGGCCTTTCCCTATTTCTGCCCCCATCAACTTCTGTTTATCCTAAACCCACATTTAGGGCAAAGCCTCCAAACCTTAGAGCAGGGGTAACCAAACTCCGGCCCTCCAGCTGTGGTGAAACTACAAATCCCATGATGCATCTCTGTCCAGGAGTCATGTCTGTGGCTGTGAGTATCTTGCAATGCCTCATGGGATTTGTAGTTCCACCACAGCTGGAGGGCCGGAGTTTGGCTACCCCTGCCTTAGAGCATGTGCACTATTGTTAATCTAACTTTCATCTCACTTCTCTCACCCTTTTGCTTCTCCTACTTTCTGGGGACATTTCCCTAAATCCTGCCCCCCACAATCTAGGTTTTTTCAGCACACCAAAAACCCTTCTTCCTCTGGCAGCAGCCGCAATCCAAGTAATCTTATTCCTATATCTCTGCTCACAAGATCCAGTCCCCTTTTTTTTCTACACATGGTGTATTCATAGAAATGGAATATGATCAATGAACCAAAAAAGTATCAAAGGACACTGACCATGTCAGTGGAAAGCTTGAGTGCAGCAAAGGTAATCAGAGGTAAATTCCAAGCTGTAGGTACGGCCGTACAGATGGCGATGAGTATACATATACTTAGCTGGCTCTCTTGATGCCATTGGTTCCTTCAATGTCTCCAAAAAGTATCACATAAGAGTGTCAATGAGTGTCCAAATTGTAGCTCCTTGTGTCACACTGGAATCGCTTTACCATGGAATCGCTTTATTCATTCATTGATATATTCCATTTCTATGAATACACCATGTGTACTGGAGTTTGGTTTTTTGAAGATATTTATATCATGAGTTTATCAGCCAGTGTCTGTGTGTCCCACACAGATTGGTGAGCATAGAGGATCTGCTTAATCAACTTCATACGGATGTTGAGAAATCTGCAAATATTTCTCTGCTATCTTCCAGCTGATATATGAATGATTTTGAGGGTTCCACAATAGAATTTCTTTCATCAGTACTAGCCGAGTGGGAATTATGTGCAATATATATATATGTGCCTTATATTTTAACATTGTTTTTTTGTATGTGTTTAATAAATTATATTTTTTTATGTATAACTATATAGTTGCATGATTGCATTTGTGGTGGGATCTCCCTCAATGGGGACATATGCCAATTCTATGTAATATAGGAGACCCTAGGATATACTAGATCACTAGGATATACACTGCTGATATTTATTTTTTGAGACCCTCCTTCCCCAGATATAGATACATTCTAGGTACAGCACTGGTGTCGGCCCATGGGAGGGGAGGGGGGAGTTTAAGTAAAGCTGTACTGTGATGCAAAGCTGTCAGATGATTTTTCTATGTTTTCTGAAGGAAAGAAAATAAAAAAACTGCAGCTCAACAGATAAAGACACATGCACACCTTTTAAAATTACAGTGTCCCAACATGAGCTTAATTATGGTCAAGATAATCATACCAGAGCTTTACCTGATGAATATTTCCATAGAGCCAGTGCGTCTCAGGACCTGGAAAAGGACTAAAATTTTTCAGCAGTTGCTTCCTCTTCAGGTGAAAATAATACGCTTTATATAGAAAATACAGGACACTCAGCACGACAGCCCAGTAAAAAGTATCCGAGAAACTCAGAGAGAACAGTCCAAATAAAGAGGAAGCCATGCTGGAATTGTGCACAGCACAGTGCACAGTCCACTAATCTCTATATCGTATGTCAAGTCTTAAATAGTTTACTGGCAGGAGAAGGCATGATTTCAGGAATGCAGTTGATAGGACAGTCTATAGGTTAGGAGGACGGGTCCTGAAGGAAGGTGTGACTTCCCAAACAACGACATAGAGACATTCATACAGGCAAACAGGTGCATGAGAGTCTAAAGGTGGCCATACACTTTGCAACCCTCGCAAGACTTTTGTCTTGCGAGGGTTGCAAAGTACTTAAAAAAACGTACGATCTGCCCATCTTGGACAGGCAGATCGTACTTGCGATCATCGCAAGCCCGCCCCCCTGAGGGGCGGGCTTACAATGACTGCAAACGGGCTGTGTGCGCGTGCCCACACCAGCCCGTTCGACAGTTGTCGAACCAGCAGGCCACTAACTCGCCGAGAATCGTACGATTACCGGCGGGTTTTCTAGCCTGCTGGTTCGACGGAAGACGTGCGACCGTACAGTAGAAACGGTCACACACCTTCCATACACTGCACGATTCTCGTGCGATCGCGGGATTTCCCGTGATTCTCGTACGAGAATCGTGCAGTGTATGGGCACCTTTAGACAGAGAAAGCAAATAATGGAGTTTATTAAAACACAGTTTAAAGAGGAACGATTTTTGTCAGGTGTGCATTAGTCAAATTAATTTAAAATCATTATTTATAATGTGTTGTAAGTTTTGCAGTTACAGTAAAAAACAGTACAAAGCAAATAAAAACACCTTTTCATTCTCACTTGGGATAGATAAGCTAAAAAAAAACACACGTCCAAAAAGAAAAAAACTAAGCCTGCAGTTAATCCACCGGAAGGCAAAAGACATAGGGGTCTATTCACAAAGCTGCCGAAGGATCTGGCCGTAGCTTCGGCCGATCCTTCGGCTAGCTTCGGCCCCAGGACCCCTTCGGTTCATGATGCCCTCGGCAGCTTTGTGAATAGACCCCATAGAATTGTGATCCAATTTGCTCCAAGAGGGCATAAAAATGGGAAGTCCTATACATACTTGTCAGTAATGTTCCTTTTCTGATATAAATGCATGGCAGCAATGGGTAAATCTGTCCCTATAATGTTTATAGGATGGACTACTCTATAACTAAAATAGCAGACACAGCAGTGTAATAAATAACTGGCTGTGAAAGGATAGGGAGAGAATCTTATGTGTCTATGCATTTGTATCATGTAAGGAAAATTACCCATTGGTAAGTATGCAATCTTCCATTTTCGTGACACAAACATGGCAGCATACTCCTAGACTATAGCACAACCACACACAAAAAAAACAGACTTGGGAGGGAATGCCAGAAATATCTAATCACATGGAAAACCTTTAGACTTTAAGTCACAGGTTCAATGGAAGGAAACATAGATAAAGGATTGTATGCATGTATGATTGTGTGCATAGATCCTGCATTGAATAATAATAATCAATGCAGCTTAATGCACCTGGTGTAAATGAGCCCTAAAGGAAAACTATACTGCAAGCAGGGCCAAAATTCCCACAAGGCCACCGAGACCTGGCCTCTGGGCAAGCAGGGCTAAATGTAGAGCGGGCAAGCTGGCGCTTGTTTAGTACAAGTGATCCCAGCGATGCCACTGAGATCACTTGTAATAAGCCTGCAAGTCCGTCCCCCCCCCCCGCCCCCACCTCCATGGTCCACCTCTGGCTGCCTCTGTCCCCGCTGGCCACCTCCCTCCCCGCCATGATTTTCAGCATCCACCGCTCCATTGGGGGACCCGGGACCACAGCGAGGTAGTTCAGGCTGGAGAGTGGGGAAAACAGTGCTCTGTGAAAACAATGAGATGGGAGAGCTGCACTCGCAGTCTTCTCATCTCAGCTGTCACAGGAGTTCCAGCAGAGTGCTGTGTTCAAACTCCTGTATTGGAGGGGACAGGGCCAATAAAGAGAGCCTGTCACCTCCAAATGCTATCACACAGGTGCTTGATAGCTCCTGTGTAATAGCAATGAAGTTAAGTGGGAAAAAAATCATAAAAATACAAATGTAATAAAATAAAAATCGATAAAAAAATAAAAATAAAATAATAAAATTTAAAAAATAAAAAAATTATAAATTAAAAAATAATAAGATAAGTTAAAAAAAGGAAAAAAGAAATAAATATTTTAAAAAAGAAAAAATGTGATTAAAAAGTAAAAAAAAAATAATAATAAAAAAAATAATAAAACCAACCCTGTCTCCCCGGCCACCTGGTTGCCATTCTCCAATGAAGGAGGGGGACGATGACGCATTTAGGAACCTGGCCTTGGGGTAGCAGAGAGAGTAGATCCACACTGACTGTGAGAAATATGGAAAATGCCATTAGTCATCTCCTTCTGGAAATGCTCATTGCCTGACTTCAGTGCTTCCTCACTAACTGGAACATGCATGTAGATTAGATAGAGTGAAGTCAGGACTCCAGATCTGCATACTTGTTCTAAGTCAATGACTGAGAAAGTACTAAAGCCAATGCATTATCATGACAGCCAGGACATTTGCATTTACAGGAGGAGAGATTAGCACTGAGAACATTAGTACCTCATCACTAAATGTTCCTCATAACCCTCGGTTACTGTTGGTGCGGAATGCTGTCCGTTATGTTAAGAGGAATGCTTTGAGCTGGACAGAATATCTAATCCCAATATTTACAAGACCTTTGTTTCTCTTTGCATTGTACTATTGATTGACCTTGTTGCTGTGTCTACATGACTGTGCAACACAATTGACGTCCCCCTTCTTCCCCGCTATACTGTATCTTCCTAGGTATACTGGACCAGACAACCATGCATCGCCTCTACTGCACTCTAGGGCTCCTGCTCCACTTTTGTATTTTCTCACGATCCCCACAAGGCTCTGCAGGATGATTCGCCACTAACGTTTCACTACATACCGGATGTGAAGGCAACAGCCTCATCACTGACAAACATACCAGGCTGTATTATAGAAATCTAAGAATCAACTGTTCATGGTCAGCTTTGGCTGTCCGAGATTGACATGTGACCCCACTTCAACTAAGCACAAAGGACCCCACTTGAACCTTTGCTTGGACTTAATACGGGGGGATTGACATTCCTCCCCCCATTCCCTTTATAAATACCTTAGTTGGTAGGATGAGATTTGTCTTTATACCACCTTTATTTTATTATAAAGCTACATGACCCTCTCCTTTTTTCTGCCTCCACCGATCCCCCTTCCCAATTCACCTCATACTCCTTTCAAAGCCACTACCTACTGTATGTCTACCCCACACCCAGATGCTAGGGTGTTGTAGTAATCCCCCAGTTGTACCCAGATATTGTTAGTCCTCATTTTGTCAAACTCTTCAACTTTCCTGAAGAAGGAAACAATTCAGCCCCTTTCTTGTCTCCACACATAGTGCAATGATTCCCAAGCACAATAAAGATGCTGCTGACTTTTGACTAATAACTGTCTGATTTTCCTGATCAACCCTCCTTAACACATTTCTCTCCTCCCTAATCCATACCGATCAGGTTGGGTTGGTTCCCTACCGTCAAGCAAGTGACAATGTCTGCCAAATCACCCAGCTGATCCATCTAATATAGCAAAAGCACATCCCAGGATTCCTCTTATTCTCTAGTATTTTTAAAGCCTGTGGCACTGTGACACGGGATTTTCTGCATTACAGGCAGTCCCCGACTTACAAAGAGACACTGTGATCTCACTTATGTAGGACAATGTGATAGTTTCTCTGAAAAGGTCCTGATTAAGTCATACTCACCACAATACTGCCTACCATAGGGAAATTCCGGTTTCAACAATAATTCCCTACATTTGCATTGTCTGGCACTGGTAGGTAAACATTCACTGCTTCGAAATAGTGAATTGTTTATTTTATTAATTCCTATATCTTCTGATATGGCAAATAACAATAGCAATAGCAGGAAATTTGCATTTACAGGAGGAGAGGTCAGCACTGAGAACCTTAGTACCTCCTCACTACAGGTTCCTCTTAACCTTAGATTAAGACAATCTGATTTGCTCAAACAATGCATTAAGAGGAATGCTTTTACCTGTACAGAATATTTAATCCCAATATTTACAAGACCTTCGTTTCTCTTTGCATTATATTATTGATTGACCTTGTTGCAGTGTCTTCATGACTGTGCAACACAATTGAGGTCCCCCTTCTTCCCCACTATACTGTACTTTCCTAGGTATACTGGACCAGACAACCATGCATCAACTCCATTGCACTCTAGGTCCCCGGTACTTGCAGTACCTGGCTCCTGCAGAACTTTTATACTTATACATTACTTAACTATGGTATTACCTGAACTTCCTGTACTGTTATGATTGTTCTGTTCTTCAAGACACCTTGGGGCAACATGGACCCCCCCTTCCCAGAATAATCCCAGTTTTTCAACTCCCATTTAGTAGATTACCATCAGTTAAACTGGCCATACACCAGTAGAGTTTTGTTAAAAGAAATGGTTTTTGGAATGCTCTTTCAATTTTCTAATAGTTGATGGGATCAAATCAATGATCGATTTCGACCATAGTGATGAAAAAATCGAAAGGGGCAGGATGAAAAATCTACACCTTTACTACCATTATATATACGGAGCTCTTCAACAGCTGATTTGGTTGTTTTGTTTGATTAACAGGTAAACCTCTATTTGGGAGAACACTCACATTTCAGAATTTTGTAATGTTCCAGACCCTGAGCAGGAATACTGCACCTGTACCATATTTTACACAATGGGCTCATTGGGGTTAATTTAGTAAAGGAAATATCCCTTGCAAAGGGAACAGCTTATTTGCGTTAGTAAATCAACCCTAGAAGATCTGTTGTCCGCACACCATTCTGCTTCAGAATGTCCTTTTTATTCATATTCCTTTAGCGTGACATGTGAATGCAACGTTTCGGGGGCCTCACAGGACCCCTTTGTTAGGCAAAGTAAATCAACCCTATTACATCCCTCCAGCAACTAAAAGAAAACTTTATTCTCTCCTACACCGTGTATTACCGTAACTTTCAGTTGCGACATGCAATCAATGTCCAGTTGACATGGTATATCTCAAAACCCATTAATTGCCATCCTTTGGGGCTCATCCTCTAAACAACTAATCTCTCAGTTGTATTCCCTGCTTGTGACCCCAAAAGCCAGACATCTGACCCATCACAAAAAACCCTCCTGGGAAAGTGAAGAGCACAATGAAGGCTTGGATGAAGCCCTGGAGATATACAAATCCATCTCACCTAAAATATTCATATAATTGTTTATTACATATAAAGTACTATAACAATGAAGCAGCATCACATGATAAATCACACAAATGAAATTCTTAGTTTTTCTGTGGTATTTTCTTCAGATATACGTGGACACCATTTACAGATCGTAGAACTAGCTGGGGGACTTTCTTTGGCACTTTTTCAGGGTCCGGGCTCAGTTCAAATCTCTGTAACGTCAATGCGAGGGCGACTTTTATCTCATGCATAGCAAAGTTCTGTCCGATGCAGTTTCTGGAATGTACAATGCAATAGTCATCTAATAATCAGCTATAAATGTAAGCCAATGAAGAACATCTACGTACAGTAGTGGCCATTTTGTCATGATAGCCAATTTTCTCAAGAATTCAGCCTAAGGGCTCCACTAGATAATAGTTATTCCCATTAGGCTTCAACAGTTTCAGGATCCAGAACAGTTTTAAGGCTCTAGAAGTGGCTGTGTGTACTCAGTGCAGACTAATGGTCAGATTTCAGTTAAAGAGACACTGTCATCTCACTCATGTAGGACAATGTGATAGTTTCTCTGAACAGGTCCTGATTAAGTCATACTCACCACAATACTGCCCACCATAGGGAAATTCCGGTTTCAAGAATAATTCACTGCATTTACATTGTCTGCCACTGGTAGGTAAACATTCACTGCTTTGAAATTGTGAATCATTGATTATATTTATTCCTATATCTTTTGATATGGCAAATAACAGATGTTTTAGCTTAGGGGTCTATCTATAAACCTTTTTTACATTAGATTTACACAACACTTACACATTGTCTAATGGATGTATTTGAGAAATGTGGGTGACAATAGTATGAATCTTTTGTGAAAACATTTATAAACCGAACCTGATGATTAGTGATGAGCCGAACACCCCCGTGTTCGGTTCTAACTCGAACTTTCGAACATGGAAAAAGTTCTAACTCGAACTTAGAACTCAATGCAAGTCTATGGGGGTAGAACTCAGAAATTTAAATGTCCCCATTTTGAAGCCTTATATGCAATTTATTGGCCATAAAAAGTGTATGAATCGAACAGACCGCGACATCCCATAATGTTCGGCGTTCGGCGAATGCTAGAACATGCAATGTTCGAGTCGAACCTATGGTTGACTCGAACATGCAGCCCATCCTTACTGATGATGAAAAATCCACCAGTAACATGCTTTAATGAGCTGATTGGGTGGAATTGATCAAAACTGGAGCAGGCAGAGTCTGGAGCAAGTGCCCATGGCAACCAATCAGTATCTCTCATCAGTTTGCTCAGTTAAGATTTGAAAAAGAGAGATAGAAGCTGATTGGTTGCATTGCAAATCTGCTCCCGATTTTGTCTGCTCAAGTTTTGATAATTTCCCCCATTGTTTCTTAAAGGGTTACTTACCCTAAAAGAGATATTGGCTTAGAAAATGGCAGCTGTAAAACTTGACAGCCATATATGTAATTGATCCCATACTGTCAAATTAGATATATACCTTGATCCAGCTGAGAAAGGAACAAAGGCATATGAATGTCGGCCATTGGAATTCTCTGGTGAAAATCTTAAGGGATCATAAACCTGAAAGCAGAAAATAAATCACAATGTGTGTATCATTTTACATTTATCTCCAGCAACATAAAATACCAAATGGGACAAAAACACAAAGTCTGGGAGTCTACTTTGGAAAACCTAAGCAGCACAAACATTGCAACATTATCAAAGTATATCTATTGGGCTTTACATACACTATAGCGGTGATAAAGCTCTTTATTTTGGATGGAGTGTGAAATGACTGAACCCTGTCAGGTTTTTACCCCTGTGTCCAGGGATTTACCGTCTCTATTTGTCCCATGTTCTGGTGACCATTGTCACTGAAACAGAAAATGATGGGAAATACAACATTTTACAGTTGTCACCAAAACAAGAGATGAGAGCAAAATAGACCCCTTAGACCCTGTTCACACCTTGATGTCTTGTAGCTTGAAGCTACAAAGCACTCAACACATGAAATCCTTTTGTTTTCTATGCTCCTACTCACACCTGAGCATTTTGTCGTAAAAATGCTGGTAGCTTGAAAAAGTAAATGAGCTTCTTTTCAGGCAGATTTGTACACAGGTCATTAGACTGCTGGAGCCCAGGGAAGAAGAGGCTGTGGGGAATGGTCTAGCAGCCTGGCTGGATCAAAGATCAGGTAAGTACTGTATATTTCACTGTTTATATTTGATGCTTTCTTCAGCTCGGCATATTATTGGATAAATATTTTGTATTATAGAAGATATAGTTTTAGTGCTTAGTAGCTCTTTTTCACCTTTTTTTGCATTATCACTGCCACAGATCTTGTTTGTTTATATGTCTAGACTTGTTGTCTTTCTTTAGTTCTGGATAGATTTAGTTGGGAACAATGAAAACTCCCCGCACAGTTGTCACCAAAAAATGTGTCCCCTTTAGAAGATTTCTGATCACTTCTTGCCCTCATGACCATCTAAATAACCCTAACCCAGGTCACCAGGTCACATAGAGGGGTAAACCTCCCCTGTGGGGCCAAAGTGGCAGAGGGACCAAGGGCCTGTCGCGCCAGCAAGCTGTACTTAAAGCACAGAAGCTGGTGTGCTATGTCATGCACTGTGCTGATGCACCAATCCTCGCACTGTTTACCTTTTTTTTTTTTCTTTTTTTAACGCCATCCTGCCCTGAAAAGAATCGCAGAATACCGTACGTTTTCTCGCTGCACACCACTACAACGCATTGGTGTGAACTGTCCCTGTTAAATCAAGGCTTTGTCTATGCATTGGGGCTGCACTAGAAAAGTGGCCAGGGCAGTCCCAATGATTCTGGTGTGAATTGACCCTCAGTTTTCCCCAGTCAAAAAAAGGTTTTGCCTTTACATACACTTTAACATCATCCATACAAATCCAATTCAAAATAGCTTTAAACAAATTCTGAGCAGTAGATACCTACAATGCTTGGAAGAGCCCTGGCTCCATCCAAAAGGCCAATTTATGGATACTTGGCTATTGATTTTGCTTGTGCCAGTGATAGTAATACAACCAATATGTAATGGTTGGGTAATGCATTTTTGAACTTTGTTTCAATCTTTATTATAAATACTCATTGTGAAAAATATATTTAGTACATGGAGTACACAGCCAATGTGCAATGTACTGTCACCTGGACCGGATTTCCCACAAGGTCACTGAGGCCTGGCCTCAGGGCGACAGGGGTGTGGAATCTCTTGACGCCTGGGACTTTCAGTTCCAGCATCGGGTGGGTAGTTGTTTTTTACATTTATCTCTGCTTTGGGCAAACACGACTAAATGTAGAGCCGCTCGTTCATTTACAAGTGATCTCGGCAATGTCACCAGATCACTTGTAATAAGACTGCAAGACTGTCCACCTGCCACCGTGTACCTCTCTCCTTGCCTCTCTCTGGAGATCTTCAGGATGGAGAGCGGAGAGCAGAGCGGAGAACGTCCGTTCTCTGCTCTGCTCCGTGTATACAGTGAGAGGAGAGAGCTGCACCCGTAGCCTTCCGCTCTCAGCCGTCACAGAAGTTCCAGCACAGTGCCCTGCTTGAACTCCTGTATTAATAAAAATAAGTGAAAAATAATAAGAAATAATAATTAAAATAAAAAAATAAAAAAGTGATAACAAAACTTATAAAAAGATAAATAAGTAAAAAATAATAAGATTAAAAAAATATAAAAAATAAAAAAGTAAAAGATAATAAGATAAATACAAATTTTAAACAGTAAAACAAAAAAAATGTATAAATAAAGAAACATTCAAACCAAATTAAAACTAACGCTGCTGCCACCTTATCTGGCTAGCATTCTCTACTGGGGAGGGGTTTGGCAGGGAGGGGGGTGCATTGAGGAACGTGGCCTTGGGGCAGCAGAGATAATAAATCAGGCCTTGACTGTCACATCTCGTAATGTATAACAGACGTTATCATCAACCTTTGAGAAGTACATATCATGGCTCATGCAAACAATATACAGCAAACAATGTAAAAATTGGTGCATTTCATGAAATGGAGACATGACTTGTTTTTTTTTTACATAGCTTTTACTAAATTGCTTTCAATATCATTGGATAAAATAATTCTTAAAAAAGGATAGAACAATCAATTACATATTATTATGATACCCACTCATGTTTTAAGTAGACCGAACTTACCTCTGGATCATCCCAGACACTGGGGCATCTGTTTATGGCATATATGCTCAGAAAAACCATGGAATCTGCCAGATAAAATAAGAACATTGTCTGTAAACCTCGGATGTTAAAGTGGTAAATTAGTATTATTAGATATTTGTTTTTCAGGGGTTACCGAGAATAAATGAGCCCCTAAAACAAAATATAACTTGAAAAGACAGTGAAAAAATCCTAATTTATAAAAGAAGATACCTATCGTTCCTGACCACCAGGTGTGTTGAAACTTCACTCTGTGGCTGATCCCTGCAGGTATTCCACAACACACTTTGGATGTGTATGAATACCTCACAGTGTGAGGTGGGGAGAACAGGTACTCACACCCGGGAGTGTTGGATATCTGCATTGGCCGGAGATTAGCAGTTTGGAGTTTTAGCACATAGGAAAGGTAAGTGTGCAGTATCTTCTATTACAGGCTGGGGTTATGTGAACTCTGACTCTATAGTGACAGAGTCACTTTAAGAACTGTTACCGGCAATCACAAATATGTATTAATCTATGTGAAACTCTGCGCTATTTAACAAACCACCCACTGTGAAATAATCACATTTATTAAACAGCAAATTCCACTGACTGTAAATGTAAAAAAAATACAAGGCACTGCAAGGGTTAAGTGCTCGTTTTGTCTAGGTAGCTAAAATAAAAGAGGCATACTCCCCCGAACCATGATGCCAGCTGGCTGCTAGACCGGTCCCTTCAGCCTGTCTTCTCCTCTGGTCCAGCGGTTTAAGGTCCTGTAAGTCATCACGTCCTACATGATGTGAGGATGCCAAGGGACATTCCATTGCTAGCAGCCAGTCAGTCCAGCAGCCAGTCAGGATCATGGTTCGGGTGAGTATATCTCTGCTATTTTAGCTACCTAGACGAAACGAGCACCTAACCCTTGCAGCGTAGGGCTAGCCCCACTGCAGGGGTTGAGGTTTTTTTTTGCCCTGAGCTCTTCTTTAAGCTTTGAAAATGAAAAACGGAAGCTGATTGGTTGGCATGGGCAACTGCTCAAGATTCTGTCTGCTCCGGTTTTGATAAATTCCCCCCATTGTTTCTTGGGAAAGAGACTTTATTTGGTGATTTTTTTGGGTAGATATTTGTCACTTATATTTAGTATAAAAATATTTGTTGGTTTTGCACACAGGTATATATTTGTATGTTATCAGAAGGAGAAAAATCAAAGTCATCTATGAAAAAGACCAAAACGTCTATGGATAGCACCTAACATAGAGTGATGAGCTCCGGTATGGACAGAATCCTATATGAACCTGAGCTCCTCCGAACCCTGAAGGAACTCCGCCCAAACACAAGAGGAAGCACCTTCTATGACACCCAATCTGGGGAGGGAATTGACCTAATCTGGCCAGGTGACCATAAAAAATACATCAGCACAAGACTCCCACCCCTTTGATTATGTGTCAGCTGTGGGGCAGGGGATGCATCAACCCACAGCTGATGGTGGGGGGAGGGTTCCATTCAAGCCTAAGGTCATCCCTGCTTACATATCCGCAGAACTTATTAGGAGAAAGTACTGGTTTGTAGCACCTGCAATTAGTAATACGAAATATAGACTGCTGTGGGAATTACTTTACATATCGTTACATTTCCTGGTGCATTGTCTAGGCACATTCAGCAGGCATAAGGAATTGTGATGACTGACCTTTAGGCAAGCTCCGGCCATCAGGGAAGGTGACGGGTGAGGCAAGTTGACGGGCCACTCCTGGCACTGGTGGATATAGGCGCATGCTCTCCTTAATACACATGGTGGTGTATGGCATCTTACCCAGATCATCCCTGATCACACACAAAAATAAAATATAAAAAATGTATAAAACTCAAACCTAGGCAGTTTTAATTTAATAATCTCCTGCATTACTTAACTGCAAGCTGCAATACTTAACTCTTTTCTGGTGTTGTCACCTGCAGAAATGTAATTCTCTGACTAGATGTCCTCAGTCTTCCAGGTTGAATGGCACTCAGAAGACTAAGCACAACCTGTAAGTGCAAGGTGTCATGGACCCACCTACTGGTGGACATCACCACAGCCCTTCGTTCATATAGAGTGATACACTCTGCATCATTGAGGACTGCCATTAGCTGAAGAAGATGCAAAGAATAAGAGAATATGTATGTCGCATGTCATGTGACCAGTCTATAAAATGTGGTAAGGTAAGTATAAACCAAATACAAAAGTATAGAATACATGTGAGGGGTGGGGAAGCCTCATTGTTTATACACTCAGCATTCTAGCACTGCGTAATGATACCCTATCTACTGTACCACATGGGTTAAGGCATAGCTAAAGTCCCCTGTATGACATTCTGATCAAGTGTCAAATTCAGGTTTTATGTGATTCACAAGTCTCATAAAGTAAACAAAAAACTTTCTTTACCTTCCCTGACTGTAGCAAATCCTCCTTTTTTGAGTCTCACAATCTTTCCCTCCCAGACACTGCAGCTCACAGTGGGAGGGTTTCCGCAACAAAGCCAGTGCTGTCAATCAAGTAAGCAGTGGGCGGGACTAGGTGTGGCCAGGTGCTGCTACAGGATTGGGAATCAGCAGTGACAAAGCTGTCACTTTGTCAGTGATGGCCACCTCTCCGAAACATATTTCATCCCACTGTAGTGTATGCAGGCACAACCTACAAGAGTGGCAATTCTTAATTCAGGATACTTCATCACAGGAAGCTTCTTTAGGTGCACTTCACTATGAGAAACAACAAGTATTTGTGGGACTTTGCAAGGGGACAAACTGTGCGTGCAGATGCATTTATAATTAAGTGTTGCAGCAAATATTTTGTTTTAATTGGCCATCGTTTTACTTTAATATTACTTTTTCCCTGTAGTATCATGAACTATCCATCTTTTCCTGGTCACAGGACCCATTCACACCACATCTAGTTCATCTGCAGACCAGACCAGATTGTTTCCGGACCCAAAATGCATCCTAATGTATCCCTATACTATTTCTGACCTCTATTCACACCAGCGCAGTCTGTTTCAGACCAGAAAAATACTGCATGTCTCATTTTATCTGGTCTGGAATGCACTGGAACTACAGACAGATTCACACCATTTTCCGGACCAGGTGTGGTCCGGAAAATGGTGTGAACCTGCCCTAATTCTATCATTAATAAGGCAGGGTGCCATTCCAACCCCTACTTCCCACCCACCATTAAAACTGCTTAAACTGACACCAAACTCAGGAGTTAAACCTTAAAAATACATTCAAGCACCTTCATTATTAACCAAAATGTATCTTATTTGTATATCAATCCTTAAATCATCTCTGAATTCATGCTGACACTGTCCTTCCTTCTGAATGTGGGCTTTTTTTGTTCCCCATGGTCCCTGTGTGTGTTGTAAAGTAGTCACTGCTCCAAGCTCACTCCTGTGATGGACTATAATCTCAATACAAATCAGTAAACTAAACATGAGATTGTAGTCCATTACAAGAGTGAGCTTGGAGTGGTGACTACTCTACAACACACACAGGGACCATGGGGACAAAAGTAGCCCCCTCCAGAAGGAAGGACAACGTCACCACCAATTCAGAGATGATTTGAGGATCCACAGCCGAGTGATACACAAATAAGATAAATTTTTGGTAATAGTTGAGGTACTTGAATGTATTTCTAAGGTTTAACTCCTGAGTCTATTGTCACTTTAAGGGCTCAGTCCACCCAAATCTGTTAATGTTGTGCATGAACAAAAGTGGGTTTAACCAACTAGACCCTTATACATGGAATTCTTAGCTGTAAGCCTCTCCCATTACAAATCCAAGTTTGGAAGTCTCATCCCTTCTGCTGCATTCTCTGTAGTGAATAAACACAGAATCCAGCAGTGGCCCTGGAAAAGCATGTGCAGAGTTCCATATTTTCATAAACGTTTTGAAAATCACAGAACAGGTCTGTCAAAATCCAGTTGATTCAGAATATACATTACCATAGGTGTGCACAGACTATTGCATTAGGGTGAGCATACAAACAAACACATGCGTTATGTGACCATCCACCCGGCTTCCTGATTGGATGGGAAACTGCAGCCACGCTCCCTCGCAGCTTTCCAGGCACCGAGGACTGCGGCTGTTATGTGAGGAATGTAAGAGGCAAGTACTACTGTGTTCTGTATCGCTGAGCCGGTCAGAGAGATCTTTGTTATCTCTCCACCGACTCAGTGACTGAAAACACGACGTCCACTGTTGTGGTTTCGGAGATGCACTCGCCTATGTACATTATATTTTAGCAGTGCAGTGTTGAATTAATTCCAAATGGTTAATACACCCCACAGTGGGAGCAAATTAACTTCAAAGTCTGTTCTCAGTGGACAGCAGTCTCTGCATCTGCATCCCAATTAGCACAGCCTGGTCTCTGAGACAAATGTTTCTATCTCTGTCATTGAGGATTCTGGAAAATGTATTGAATTATTACTCCCATTATGTGCACTGCACAATAATAAAATGATAAAATGTTGTGCAAGACCCAGGTTGTGCAGAGATGAGATGTTAGACTCCAAACATTCCATCAGGGACGTGCGGTCAGGGGAGGCAGGGGAGGCAGAGCCTCACCTAGTATTATGGAGGAAAAAGCTGTCAGCTTCAACTCTGAAGCTGACAGCTTTTCTCTATTTAGATCGGCTTGTAACAGGTTACACAGCAGGGAAAGCCTCCCCACTGTGTAACCTGTCATGGACCGAGCGCTGCCTGTTAATTACAGGCAGCGCTGCATCCGGCTTTTGACAGGTAGTTAGGTTACACAGCAGCGGGCTTCCCTACTGCTTGTGTAACCTAACTAGTGAGGCAAGAGATGCCTCTACTCTTTGTTAGAGGCGTAAGCTCTGTAGATGGTTTGGACCAATGGCAAAGCGCCATTGGTCCAAGCTGTCCAATCAAAAAAAAGAAAAGAAATCCCACATCGATCTCGATGCCTCAGCAGTGACGAGCAAGTGAGGGACCGAGAGGCTCCTCCCTGTCTCCTCCCTCCCTTCTTCACATTAGCCGGGGCTTCGTCGGGATGGGGGTGGGGCTTAGGTGGGATGTGGGAGTAGCTTCAGCATGCTTGTGGCAGGGCTGGGTTTGGTGGGGGCGGGCTGGGGAATGCCTCACCAAGAAACGACTGTACCGCATTTCACTGCATTCCATGCTTTATTGTAGATATGGGAGAGAATTGATAATGTGGGTCCTTTTTATGTTGCTACTGGTTCTGCTAAGTGTAAAGTATCTGCATACATAGCAGAACATCTTAAAACTAATATTCTTACTTTTGGATTCAACATTCATAACTCAACACAGTTATGAGAGCTTGAAGATCTTGATAACCAAAATCCTACCAGTGCTAATTGCGAAAGATCCAACAGCCAACCTATTCCATCCCATTGTATAGTCTGAGTGGGTGACAACTCACTTTGATCTCTAAGGTATAAAATGGAGATCTGCAATCAAATCTTGGTCCAATTTGAGGGTTCCCACCTATGTACTATGACTATGTCACCTATGTTGGGGGTATGGTCTACGTGTTTTATACAACCCCTTGGAGAAGGTGAAATACTTTTTCTGCAAGTTTTATCCATTTTATTTTTTATACTGTTTGTGTATTTATGTTTTACTTTGTAACTTCTGCTTTCTGTAACGTTTTGTACCTTTCCCATTCCTGGTTAAGATAGCATGTAAGTGCTGGTAAGAAAAGTGTGTGTGGTCTACTAAATCTTGTGTGCCTCTTTGCTTGAGTGCAGACTATACTGATTGGAGGTGTCAGGACCAAGGCTTCTCGCAAGGTGTGAGTAGTGGCAGCTAAGATATTAGAGTGTGTGTTATTTGTTGTTGCCTATGTCCAGATTGCTGAAATTTGGGTTCTCATGATGATTCGTCAGTATGCTGGTCATTTCCAAGTATGTGCAATGGATTGTGATACCTTGTGCATCTTTCGGCCTCCCTCGCCCCTTTGTGACAGTAGGTCATCCTATTACAGGCATTGATCAGACATTAAGATAACATGTTCTCACCATTCCAAGAATTTTCGACCTCCCAGCAGCTCTCTGATCTCCTCCCGACATTTGTCCTGGTGTTCGGGGTATAAAGCCATACAGTATAATGTCCAGGAGATCCCGCTGGCTGTTGTATCGTGTCCCTCAAACATGAATGTGTCAACCTCTGCACGCAAGTCCTCATCAGACAGACCCTTACCATTTTCATCCTGATGGATTACCAAAATACCATATTAGCAAACCTTCCAACATATTATAATATAAAACTCAGGCCAAGACAAAAGCCCTGGCCTAGTCCATACAGGCTCCACCCAGAAATCATCTTATATGCCCATATTGTGGTGAAATTGGGTGAGCATAGGCATGTTTTATACTCATATCCTAACATCATGAGTGGACTTAAAATTTTGGATTATTGCTGTTGCGAAGTCGAGTTATTCTGCTACTGGCGAAGAATCACACCAAGTGAAGATAACCATTTGCTCTTATGGAAACGCTTCCCTGTTGGGACACGGTGCTGCAAATTCTCAACCACTAGCAAAGGAGCAGAAAGAGATATCTCACTGGTCTGGCTAGCAAACAAACGAATATGGATATGGATATGCATAGGAACAGGTAAGTGGTCTGTTAGTCTGTTAGTAAACCTGTTACTGGTTGGTTGTTGCTCTTGTGACATACTCCCTAGAGAAAGTCCTTCTTCCAAGAATATAGGGACTTTTCAGGTACCGCATCAAAGGATTTAGAAATGAAGAAGGTATCATGCCGGACAAAGTTGAATACCGAGCTGTGATTAGGTTCCTTCATTTTCAAGGGAAATCTGACCAAATAATCCATAAAGAGATGTCAGCTGTGTATGGAGAGAACTGTTCATCGTATGAGACTGTCAAACGATGGAAGAGAGAATTCAAGTGTGGTTGCACATATATACTGGATATACAGGCTGGGCAGATTTCCCTTGAAGATGGAGGAACCTAATCACAGCTCGGTACAGAGGCGTAACTAGAACCTTCAGCGCCCTGGTGGAAGAAACCATGAAGGGCCCCCCCCCAACCGCCATGGCACCGCATGTTAACAGGAAGGCTGCCAAGGTCCCCAGCAGGAAGGCAGCCGCTTGTTTAAAATTTTAGTGCGGTGTTCTGTCGAGAACGCTGACCCAGTATCTGCACTTGCTTACAGACGGGATTACCGAGGAAACCGGCATTTATTTACAAAGTAAATACCACAATTAACGGTCACAATTAACCATTCGTTTGTAATGGTTAATTGCGACCGTTAATAATATACCATCCATGGCAGTAAGTGACGGATGGAATATTATTAACGATCACAATTAACGATTTTAATGAAATACTTTGTGAATAAATCCCGGTTTCCTCAATCACACTGGTCTGTGCGCAAACGCAGATGCTGAGGTCGGCAAATTCGACTAAGTCGGCGTTCTCGACAGAGTACCGGTATCTGCATTTAGTATTGGGGCATTTTCATGAGTCTAAGTACTCGTTAAAATGCCCAGTATTGGCAGTGGTGTATCCCTACTTAAAAATATAATGCATTGCTGGGACTATTCTGCAGTTGGAGCTATTCTGCATTGCTGTATAATCATACAGCAATGCAGAATACCACCAGCTATGCGGGACTACAAGTCCCAGCAACACATTATAATAAAAGTCAGGTATGCAGAATACCAATACACCAGCATCCCCCCCCACTATAATGCATTGCTGGGAATTGTAGTCCTACATAGTTGGAGCTATTCTGTATTGCTGTAGAATACCACCAGCTATGCGGGACTACAAGTATTACAATATATTATAATAGCAGACAACACTACAGAATCCCATTACACCAGCATCCCCCCCACACAAGAGGAGAGGGTCCTCACAGCAGAATGTGCTGCCCGGCGGTGCCTGCAGCACATTCTGCGGGACCAGTGACGGCCTCTCTATCCCTGCCGCACAGCCGCCCGTACATGCTGCGCCTTGCAGCGCGGCAGGGAAGGAGCGGCACAATCTGGGGGGCCCTCTTCTTCCTCGCTTCAACTTTGTCCGGCATGACACCTACTTCATTTCTCTTGGCTCTAACTATAATTCACCACGACCTACAATAACACAATTTCAGATCCCTAGCACATCTAGATCATGGTGAGGGTAAGAACTTATTGGCCTCCCCTTGTAGAATCTCTCTCCCTCCCTGATATAGGTTTAGTTAGTATCTCATATCAGCATGTTGTGTCTGTTTAATGCTATGGATTTTATGCCTGTGTCATGCATGGATTTCTGTTGCCAATTGAGCCTATTCCCCCTTATACTATTTATTTAACTTTGCTGTGCTGCTTCTTGTCCTGTATTAGCTGCCATTATGGGCAACAAAATCACACTTAGTAGGTGTCTTCTACGAGATTCTTGGCCAGAAAGGCAACGGTGGGTCACTTTGCCCCCTTAGTCCAAAGAGAAACAGGGGGACTGCCAACAGAGATCTTCTTGTGAAAATGCTAGCCACCTAGCTGTTATGCTGACCTCTGGCTTCAATGTATCCTGAGACACTGACCAAGAACAAATGCAGATTGGCAACTCACACTTATTCCAGGTCAGTGACTCCAAGGTTTGGAGTAAGAGGATCAGCATTATAGCCAGGAAAATCGTATTTACAGAATGACAAGTCAACAATGAGAACCCACATTTGTTTGGAAAGGTTTCCTTGATAACAATTCTATTTTAATCATCTACTAAAATCTTACATATGGATACTGTTAAAACCTTAGATGCAGGATTCATTTGATGAAAATGATGTCATCTATGTCAAGTAGTCCATCTATTTTAGTATGGATTTGGTACCTTGGCATACAGAAGAATGTCAAGAAAGTCCAAGTGTCTCTTCTGGCTGATCTTCTCCAGCTCGCTGTCCTGTTTAAGAGATTCTTTCCGCTTTTCGATCACATTTTCTGTATCGGAAAAACATGTTACAGTTGTTGTTTCTGTGCTGCCACCGCCAATGTTATATTCAGCTATTTCCATGATATTGCTATGTATTGCATTGTATATTATTATGTTGAGGTAGGTCAGGTGCAACACTTTGCCCAATCACGGCACAGTGCACTGTAAGAGCCATGAATTGGCAAAGTAATGATGACTTTGCCCAATCATAGCTCACAGCTAAGTCCCAGCCCCACACTGTATAAGGCTGCTTACACCACAACCTTATGTAGTGTTTTGCTGGAGGTAATGATAGAGCTAGGTGTAGTAGGTATAGTCAGGTGTAGTGTAAGCTAACTAGGTGTCAGTGCTTTATGCAGCATGTTAGTACTATATACAGTACTTGTAAAGTTTTTGTTTAGAAGCGCCAGGGGCAATCCTTATCCCTCACAAGGAAGAAGTGCTGGGCATATGTGCAGGGCGCAACCCCAGTACAGTTAGGGGAACTGGGACATCTGAAAAAAAAGCACAAAGAGGGGCGCCTTTCCTGGTGCAGATATGTTTATTCCAATAAGCAGGTTTAAAAAGTAAACTGGCTTTAAAGCACCTGTTGTTACTTTCATCAAATGTCTGTAAAAGAGACACCAGAATTCATCCAAAATATCTCTAACCTTGTTTCGAGTGTCCTAAAATGTGGCCTCTTCACACAGCCTGCCTCCCCAAGCAGTTGTTTACAAGATTAAGGGAAAACCAATTACCGGCAATTGAAATGTCATTTTTTTCTTCATAAGTGTCACTTTTTGCTGCAGCAGGTTCTATATATATACATTGTACAGATGTGCTACTTTACAGGCAGTTTAAGGGGACCCCCGGGGCACGATATTTAAAGGAATTTTTCGTTTTCATTGTTTTACTTTAAGCGATGTTAAAATCACTGCTCCTTTAAAAACTGTATTCTTTTTTAATGTTTTTTTTGCATTGATACATGTACCCCAGGGCAGTACCCAAATCCTCATACCTATTGTATGGCCAATAACTTCCATATACTGTAAGCCTTCCAAATGGGGACATTTGATTTTCCGAGTTCTGGTCCCATAGACTTTCATTGAGTTCTAAGTTCGAGTTAGAACTTTTTCCATGTTCTAAAGTTTGAGTTAGAACTGAACTCAGGTGTGTTCGGCCCATCACTAATTATATGAGCTAGCCCACATTGCAGACACTAGGCTTGGAAGATCTTTGTCTTTTTACACTTCATGTGACCAGCCAACATCCTCTGTAATGTACGTCGAGAAGTAAAACTATGCTATATGGGATTTAAGCTTTTTGTGTCTTATTGGAGAGTTACACTGTCTGTGGATTGCGCTATTCCAGCTGGTGACCATACTGCCTGGAAGGGTCACGGTCCAAAGGAGGTACTGTATGTCAAATAATAAAGCGGCTCTTGAAACAGAACAGTTTCAATTAAATGAACATCGTGATGTTATAATGGATATTATGTTGTTATTTTCCCTTTAGAAAATTTACTGCAGGTCAGTGACTGATCTAGTGCTGAAGCCAGAGACAGCCAAACAAATAGCATAAGTTGACACTTACCTGTGTGTTCATGAGCTGTTCTTAGTGCCCTTCGGAAGCGGAATCCTTGGGGGCTCAGGTTGAAGATGAGATCACTATGGTAGGGGAAGAAGCGGAATCGTCGATCCACCAGATAGGACAGCTCATACACAGCCTTGATGTATTCACTCTCACTGTGAGGGGACACAATGTGAGAAGTCTATGCCATGCAATAATCTCTTTCAGCCACCAGCTGTCCTCATAGCAAAAAGCCAAAGGGTCGGTTCACACTAGATGCGTCAACGCAGTCCTAACGCATAGACAAGGCAAGTCGCCTTGCTTAGACCCCATTCACACTGAGTGACATGAAAAATTGCGCGTTTTCCGCGTGATTTAGAGCTGAGCAACATGAGCTACATTGAGCTACATCGAACTACATTGCACATTTATTTGCGCTACGTAGCGCGACTTTTGGGAGGGACTTCGTCGCTGCTACATTGGGCTGCAACCAATCAAAAGTGGTCTTGATGTTACATCATTCCTTCCTTCCATATTACTGTGCAAAAATGACATTTCTGTATCGCGCGGCAAAGTCGTGCAATATCGCCGGTAATGCGCAACATTGAGCGACACCATTGGGTCTATTGGGGCCAAATTGCGTGACATCCGCCGAAAAATAGGTCATATTCGAGCTACAAGCTTGAGCGATGAGCTACAGGAGACATTGAGCTGTGAACAGCTCCATTGAAATGCATTGGAAAAGCTACATTGAGCGACATTGCGTGGAAATCGCGTGACAAACCGCTCAGTGTGAAAGGGGTCTTACTACAGAGTTAGTTTACATCATTAGCAAAAAGTAGCAACAAAGTGCTACAGACAGTACTTTTTTCAGCCCACCCCCCACCCCCCCATGTTGCAGTGCAGTACTCCGCATCGCAATGTGCTGGGGGAAATAGAACTGAATAAAATACCACTTTGGGATATTTTAATTTAAAAAAGTACACAGTGCGATCTGCTGACATTCCGATTCACATTGCACCGCTTCCCTTCAGTGCACACCAACGGATGAATAGCAGTGCATGCTGCTGGTGTGAATGGAGCAGGAAAAATAAAAAATCTTTTAATACCGCTCAGAAGATACTGACCTGTCATTCTGGCAGTTGCTCTGGTAACTGAAGGCACACTTCATAATGCTGTCCAGCGTCATGAGGCTGACATGATGGAACAGTTCTAAAGACTTCTTCTCTGAGACCAGACTCTCCCATTTGTCCTAATAAAGATCAAAGAAGAAAGATTATGTTAATACAACAATTTTTCAGACTACATCTATCATTTTTGTTTGTTTTGGATAGAGTAGGGAAAATAAACTCTTCTGTCTGGTTTTCATTAAGGATGCGCTAAAATGGAATTTTTAAGCCGAAATCAAACCCAAAAATGATGTTTTAAAAAAAACATTTTCATTTTTTTTAAATTATTTAATTTTTATTTATTTTATTTTTACTGTACTGCCGGGGGCTCTGGGGAACCATCAGGGGTCTAAACAGACCCTGTCCATTCATAAACTGTGGAAATAGTACCAGTTACTATATCCACAATCCTGAATGAACAGGAAGTGTTCATTTATAACTGGGGACACAGTAAGCATACTATTTAAAGCACATTATTTACAAACACTCAGCGATCAGTCCTGATCACTAAGCGCTTGTATTCCGCTCTTCACCCTGTCTCCTCCGCCTGTCACTGCGGGGCAGTGCGGGAGGAGAGCTCAGCCTCCTGTGACAGGTCTCTCCTCCCCGCACTGCTCTTCTTGGCATCCTGTGCGGTCTCCTCCCCGCTGGACACCGGTCTGTGCCCCCTCGGATCCCCACTGCCTCTGCCGACACAGGTGGGAAAGAGCAGCGGGCATCAGAGGGCACACAGACCGGCGTCCAGCAGGCACAAGAGAAGCTAGAGATGCACGGAATTTTCTGAAGCATTTTTGGCCGTTATGGTACTTTCAGCATTTTGCCCAAAGTACCATTTTTGGCCAAAATGTTTTGGTTGCCAAAATTTGGGTGAATCCATAATTTTCATTGCTGCCTGTGACCACACTGGTGAGATTTTCCCTCATTTCCTGTCTCTGTGATTCCAGGTGAAGAAATGGGAGGTACCGTTGTCACTAGAACAGGAGCACACAGACATCAATAAAAACACTGTCAATTCTAACCCTTCTTCACTCTACAATTTTTTGTTCTGCTTTGACAACAAGTGAGGGGAAATCACGCCTGTAGGAACACAGCAATAAAACCCTAACAGAGGCTCTAATTCTTCCTTGTTCTAACCAAATTAAATTAAAAAACGTTTTGTGTGGAGTTGGGCTTTACACATTTAAACATGAGTTTTGTAACCTTTAAAGTAAACCATTTATAAGAGAAGTATGGGGCCTGACACATGTCTTGTCCCTCCCCCACCCTGTGACTGGACAGTGAAAGGAGAAGCAGCAGACTGATGAGTTCATCTCTCCGTCACCTGGCTCTCTACTCCTATCAGTGTGTTTTTTGTTAGTAAATTATCACTGCAGCAAAACTGATCCTTGAGCTGCTTATATATCACCCAATCTAAGCTCTGCTGTACAAGATCTGCAACCGGCTGATATGAAGTTATATTCAGGTACCTACACTGCTTGAATTTGTTGATTAGAGAGTTACATTAATTTGTGTTTCTTTTATCTGCCTGGAGTTCAGTTGCAACTTGCTTTGGGTCAGCTACTCAACTGTTAGATCAACATGATTGCCGGGGCACTAGCCTTTTTAGAAGGAGAGATCAGTAATGGCAGTATTTGGAAATTCATTACAGGTCAGTTTCCCCCTTTTGGGAAAATGGTGGGCAACTCCTCACTAGCTCACCCTCTACAAGGCTAGTCTGCATCCTAACACTGATTGCTCCTTACCAGCATCACATTAGCGCAGTCTGACATCACTCTCACATATGGTTTCAGAACATCATAATGGAACCCCGGGGTCAGCAGCTTGCGGTGCTGGAACCACTTTGCACCAGACAACACTAATAACCCTTTCCCTGCATAACAAAAGTAGGAGGATCAGAGAAAAAGATGTATACAACCATAATTACATGTTCAGTACATGTTCAGTGCATACCACACTGAAAGTAGAACTCCAGGAAATATTTATTTAACTCTTTTTATTCCTCCCTTCTGTATATAAATAATATTGCCAATCTGTAGTTACCCTCTCACGACTTTCTCCTTGGCCCAGTGCCAGCAGTCCTCTTCAGGGCGGACAACACTCTGTCATTCTGTCCATTTCCTTTGGGCCCAGCCTGTTGTGCACACATCCCTATGGGACACGTCATCACGCAGTCAGGGCTTACAGTACTCAAGGACAAAGAGTCATTAGGTAAGTCCTGGAAGAATGCCCGTACACCCAAATGACACCCAAAGAAAAAGAGCCTCCTGTGCATCACTGGACTGGCTAGAAGACTGAAAAAAGAAAAGTATATATTGGGGG